AAGGTATGTAAGTCAAGAGCCATGAACTCTATTGATGCCACTGTCTAATTCTTGTCTCACTTTCATTGTAGGCCAATGAGGAAAGGAACTACCATGTGTTCTATGAGTTGCTGGCAGGTTTGAACGACTGGGACAAACAAGAGCTCTACCTACAGGGAGCCGAGACCTATTACTACCTAAACCAGGTACATCACACATTAATGAACAGAGAACTCATACATCTCTGGATTTCCTCATGTTTTCCCTCATTACACATTTTACATACATACATATATATTTTTTCTCTGCCCTCCTCTAGGGTGGTGCCTGTGAGTTGAACTGTAAGCAGGATAAACAGGACTTTAAATTGTTGGTTCAGTGCTTTGAGACCATTGGCCTCCATGCTGACCAGATCACCACTGTTTGGGCCATCCTGTCCTCTATTCTGCAGCTTGGCAACATCTGCTTCAACTCATATGAGGTGTGTGTGTGTGTGTATGGGGGGATTGTCTTTATATACTTGTGCTAACCAACCCCGCCAGGATATGATTCTTTGTGTGGACATTTCTTCTTGTGTGGACCTTTTGGGTGGTCCACTGTCAAAAGAATTTTCAAAGAAGCAACGAAGTCACTGGAATCTTTCAATAAGAGATTGGTTTACTTACAGCAAGGAGACAAGTCAGCATGAGCATACAGAGTTGTCTGGATGAGTTTAGTCTAAACATCACAATATATAGGACAAAGGGAACTCCCTGAAGACGCATCCCAGGTGTCAATGAGGTTGTAAAGAAGATTTCAAAGGGAAAAGTGAACTTGAGAGGGTTTGCCCTGATGACCCCTCAGACACTAAACAATCTGTTGTCTGTTTATCTTCACAGTATATGGTAGGAACAGTTTATGGGTGGCTCCTTTTAAGTCTGGGATGCCATCTGGTTGAACATATAATGACACACAGAGTGCAAAAACAAAGATAAAACATGTCCTTCAGTTCACCCAAGCAGTGTCTCATAGATCCCCGTGATCTGTGGTCTGTTCTGAAAGTTTAAAATTCTTTGAATAACATATTGTTAGAAATTAACCCAATTCTTTTTTTGGAAGCACGAGAAGTGACGACAGGAGAGGACTGTTTAAAATCAACAAAGTTTACTGAATGTCTGATCACAGGTAGGAGTTCCATCCACTGACTCCGAATTAAGGTCTTACAATACATTTTATCTTCTTGGGCTGCTCCGCCCTGGACAGAGGTGCAACCTTCAATAGTTTGTGATCCTATTGGTCCTTTGGTGTGAGCCGGAGCTCGCACTTCCATGTTGAAATATGGTAAATCTAGGTATGTGTGTGTGTGTGTGTGTGTGTCTCTCAGGTGGTGAGCCCCCGGCCTCTGCAGGACATCCCAAAACAAAGCAAAGCTTGGGATATGCTAAGTGGGGTCGAGGTGTGAGTGTAAAACAGTCCTTTGCTAAAATGTAAATAGGCTGTCTGGTCACAAAGAGATGCAGACATCTAGTCTCTACACAGAAGTTACAGCATTCAAAGTAAGCAGATTCTGCTTCATTACAGCTGTAAGATATATA